GGGTACTGTTTGTAAAATATTTTTGGTCTTTTCCTCTCTATAAACTTGTGTGTCTCTTCCCCTACCTTGATTAGGCTCTTCTATATGCGGGTGGAAGCTAACATGGAATTATAATTTGTGAACAGAAGATGAGTAGAATATGAGTACACCTCAGAAATTCTAGTAAATGCTCGCAACTTTCTTCCTTAACTCTCAAAGCATAGGAAAACTTCACCTATTTAACCTCGGTTGGTTTTGACGCTGAGTTCAAAATTTTGCTATATGCTGCAGGATTTGAAAACGCCCAAGATGCCTGTTGTGACGTTTCTCGAAAGTCCACGACTTTATACGCCAGAGAAGAGTTTTGAGGACGACACGGAACCATCTGCGAGCAAACAAGACATCCTCAAAGAACTCAAAGCTTGGAGAGAGGATTATTCCAAGTAAGGCCTCTAACGAATTACCCCCTCCCTCCATTAGTCACCGTGATAGCAAGTCTTCTTGGCTAGAAGTCCTCTCAAGGAACCCCCTCGCTTTCAGGGCTGATCAGGGTATAAATTCTTATTATGTTGGTACACTGCCAAGCGTACACGAAATGGGATTGGAAATAAAAAACCTACCAGGGGATATTTCTTTGCTGAAAACGCTACTTAGAAAATGCTTTGTTAGGTTATCATTAAGGGGAATTTGCCCGCAGATTTAAGAAATGAGAAGGTTGGGTTACGCAATGACAGTGCAAATTTTGAGTGCAATTACTAATACAACGACATTGACCCAATATGCTATCACCTTGACCTGTTTTACGCCTGTCAGTAAGTAACGTTGTTTGTCATTTTTCAGCTCGGAGCGATCTTATTCAGGCGAAACAAAACCAATTTTACTATTAGTGCTTACATATTTTGCGATGGGCGGACTTGTATATGATGTCCGGCTTTGATTGGGAACCAGCCATGCGTGTAACTCTCGGGTGAGACAAGCAGTTTACCGACATGTTTGCATCTTGGTTTCGAACTTGTATCTAGTTTTGAGGATAGAGTCACGAGTATGTCCACTCACTGGTGGTTCCTGCTGATTTCGTCAAACTTCAAAACCATTTTTTTCGGATCTTTCCTGGTCACGTGGTTGATTCGGCAACGTCTACAGCAATAGCTTATTTGAGAATTTTTCCATACCTTTCAGACGACATCCCTAAATTTCGAAGAGATAAACAACAATGATTGCTAGATTAAACAGCCCTTCGTTTTGAGAGGAAAAAATATTGTACACGATAGCCCTGGAAATAATTTTTTTTCTTTCGTCCCACAGTCGTTTGCCCTGAAGTCACTGTGGTGTCGAATGTTTACAACTCGAAAATGTATTAGTCCTGTTCTTTTCTTTTTTTATTAATTTAATCTTTCTTTGACAGGGAAGCAGAGTAAACAAGTGTGTAAATATCCAGCGACTTGTAACCATATTGACTCTGTAGGCACGTCTTAATAAACAGAGAGCAAAATCAATCTTGAACCCCATCAGACAAAATCCATTCCATTCATACCTCTTTTGTTTAAAATGTAAACAAATTTTCAATCATGTTTTAGAGTCGTCAGTTATAGAGACTGAAATTTGTTTTGGAAAATTTTGTTTGGAATACCAAACCACTAAACTTCATAGGCACTCCATATATTCCGATTTTTCACCTCAGTAACCCGCATACGTCTGTACCTTTTGTCGAAACAGCTGGTGTTGTTTGCATCGTTTTCATCGCCAATTTTGACACAAATTTGCGTCACTGTCGCCTGGTTCGGCTAGCGCTTGCCTAAGAGACAGACCCTCCTCCAAAATTCATCAAAGAGAAACTAGAATGAAGTATATGTTATGAAGTATATGTTATGTCCTATTTCAATATCAAGTCAGCGTCGCTGCGTCATAAACCTCCCCCTTTCCGTTTATTATTTGTTACCGTTCTGATGAATTTCTGTCTTGCCATAAGTATTTTTCTCGTGAAGTGTTCAGGGTGAGCTTGGCTCAGTGTGTTTCTACGAGCTACGTTTTTCTTGCTTATCACTAAAGTAAGGAAAATGCATAACTGCTCAGTCAGTTCTTTTCGACTTATAGTTTATACAAGGAAATCTTGGGTATTTTCGTTTTGGTGGGTCAGACAAACATCACAACGGTGCGATAGTTAAGTTATAAACGATTTGCATGGATAATGGAGGGCAAATTTATCAAATTTAGGATCAGTTCTTTAAGGTGAACTAGCGATAACCTAGCTCTTTCAGAGATAGCGGCTTCCCCTCCCATGTAAATTTTTATTGTTTCGTAATTACATAAAAAATACGAACGTGGGGTATTTTTGTCCAACTTCACTCTTCCGATTTGAAAACAACCAGACAACCCACTCGCCTAAACTACTTCCTTTTCTGACCGCAATTATTACATGTAGGCGTTAAGAGAATTTTAATCCACTCGAACTAAGTATTGTGTGGGTGGGTAGGGTAGGGTAGGTGGGTGAAAAGTGTGTTTGTTGCACTGTTTTGTTTGATGCATGTCACTTACATTTCTAACTAAATTATTTTGTACATTTAGGATGTTAAATGACGAAAGAAGTACAATCGCATATAGGGGAGATCAAAGTCGTGCGCCCGATAGGTGAGTTCAATTGAATGCTGTCTAGATTCAAGTGAATTTCACAGACTGGTTATTGTTCCTCATCCCACAAAGAAGTTACCATTCCTTCTTCACCAAAAGAATGGCAAACATTTTAGTATGAATTACTGCGGAAAACATTGTTTGAGATCTTTTCTTTCTTTCTTTCTTTTTTTTTTTTCGCGAGATACTTTTGATACGGAATGATTTGTGACAGCGTAAGCATCTCAAAGGAGTTACTCGTCACTACTTTTTGCTTCTTTTTGTTTTGTTTAACTCTTTGCTGTAGTTTAATTATAGTAAACCCGTAGATACAAGCATAACTAGGTAAAAAAAGAAAGGTTTAAAAGAAGGAGGGAGGCGAGAGAAAACTGGAGAATATTGACACGGATTGAAAAACTTGAAAATGTTGGAAATTCTTCCAAGGTAGTTAAACCGAGACGCAGCACCCCCTCCCCTCCCCATCAAGGGTTCAGTTGATTGTTTAGTGGAAGGTTAATGCTATTGTAGCACCCTGTTCCGTGTAGTATTGAATTTTAGTTTTAAATTATTGCTAATTGCTAAAGCGGAGAAGAAGGGGAATATAATTAGCTCTTTCAAGTCTAAATCACCTGTTTTCTCCTTTTTTTTTTTCTGTCTCTTTCAGTGAGTTACCAAAAACCTCGCCCATGATGGACGCCCCTGTCACACGCGCCTACTCTCCCTCCCCTCCTTATCGCCCTCCAGAAGGTCCTGCTGCCCTACGCCGTTCACTACCTAATCCTCCCTCAGTCGGAAGGGAAATTTTAAGCAGACCCAATACAGCAGCAGATTTCAGGATGCGAAGGTAACATGCTCCGTTCATGTATCTCGTTGTTTTTTACCGTTTGGCCTCTGTTCTTTTTCTCCGGCTTCTCTGATATTGCCAGGTGCTGTAGGAGCGTTGCGATATCAAAGTTAGCCATTTGGCTGGTTGTCATTCAAACAGAGACACTTTCACTGTTTTAAATTAAACGTCCCATAAACCTTACCCCTTCCATGGGGCGCGGACAAGTTGGATTTTTTCGTCATTCTCCATTATCTCCCAATCATATTCACACTAAAATACTTCTAAATCACGCTCTGTACGCCTCAGATTCCGACAGCTTTCTGGCGAGACTAGTGTAAACCAATTGAGACTGCGAACTCTGCATGGAGACGAGAGTTTTGAAGTGGACAAAAATTTATCAACACCGTCTTTAGATACTAGACCCTCTGTGGCACTACTAGCAGAGGATGACACGGAACCACGCTCTTCCTCTGCGCCTGTGCGGATCAACCGTCGTCCGAGGTAGGACAATGACCAAGACATGTCACGCAACAAGACATGTTTAGTGAAGTTAACGATTGAAAAAATAACATTAAAAAGTCAGCACGCAATATCACTTGAACTAGTAGATATGCGGAAGGGGACAAGCGGTGCTTCATCAAAGAAAATCCAAAAACTAAACCTCATTTAAAGAGGGATTATTTGTTATATTTTCAAGACGCATCAAAATTTACTCAAATACAGAGAATTTGAACAGTTAGGAACAGTTTTAAATGACATGGAGAGTTACAATTTTTCGTGCGTTTTAAATTCCTTGCTGCTATCATATCTCAGGAATTTGCCGTCAACGAAAGATGACATAAGACCCTCCCGCAAACTTCCTGACCCACCATTTCTGGGACAGAGGCCGGGCACAGCAGCCGCTGCCTTGCAGAAACGGAGATTCAAACCTTTCCAAGAATGACAGAAACAGCGAGGAGAACGTGTAGAATGGACATATGAAAAAAATCAGCGGGTTTCGGATACTGACTTGTTAACAACAACGAACAACAACAACAAGTCTTGTGCGTGACGGATGCTCACCTATTCACCTGGAGTGCTGTGCAACTGATTATGGTTTAACTACTCAATGACAAACTCTTTTTTAACTTATGAAAGGGAAAAACTACGAGATTCCTGTTGATTGAAATATTGTATATATTTTTGTTTTTGATTGCGGTGACATTGTAAATAAAGGTGTGTTAAAGTTGATGTCTTTTGATTAAATAATCAAGCTTCTTTATATAATTTCCGGCTTCAGATACAGAAAAAAGAGTATTTGCACTCGGCACTAACCTTCTGTGTGGAGCGAGCATTGTTTATTTTGAATCCTTTAAAACTTTATTCTTAGACACCTCAGTGATTGTGTTCTTGAAAGAAGAAATCGCTGAAAGGTCC